TCTCCCACACATTCCAGGAATCTCCGGGACTGGTCCCACTCTGCTGTGTTGTATTTCCAGCAAATGTCTGGGAAGTTAAAGTCTCCCACAAGAAAAAGTGTAAGCGATCGTGAGATTTCTCCTAAATGCCTATAGAATATTTCATTCACCTCTCTGTCCTGGGTGGGTGGCCTATAGTAGACTCCCACTACAACATCTGCCCTGTTGGCCTTCCCCCTGATTCTAACACAAGGACACTCCACCCTCTCTTCACTACACTTGTGCTCAAAGCAATCATAACAGTCGCTAACATACAGAGCTGCCCCACTCTCTCTCCTTCCTTGTCTATCCCTCCTAAAGAGCTTGTAGCCATCAACTGGCACACTCCAGTCATGGGAGACATCCCACCATGTTTCTGTAATAGCAACACCATCATAATTTTCCTGTTTCATCGTGGCTTCAAGCTCCTTCTGTTTGTTACCCATGCTGTGTGCATTGGTAGAGATGCACTTCGGCTGGGCTGATGTTTTGCCCCCTTCCCCCTTCAGATCTACTTTAAAGCTCTGTCAATAAGCCCAGCGAACTCCTGCCCCAAGATCCTTTTACCTCTCCCGGACAGGTGCATTCCATCTGATGCCGAAAGGTCTGGTGTCCTTTATACCAACCCATGACTGAAAAATCTAAAGCCCTGAAGGTAATACCAGCCTTAGAGACACAAGTTCATCTGTTGAGTTCTCCTGTATTCTTCTTCATACATCCCCACAACTGAAGGGATGGAGGAGAACACAATTTGTGCCCGTGACCCCTTAATGAGTTTCCCCAAGGACCTGAAATCTCTCTTCATTGCTTTAGGACTTCTCCTGGTAATGTCATCACTACCTACCTGAAAAATCAGGAGAGGGTAGTAGTCCTTGGATCTCAATAGAGTGAGGAGTTTAGCTGTAAGGTCCTTCACAGGGGCCCCAGCGAGGCAGCAGACTTCCCTATGAAGCGGGTCCAGTCTGCATATGGGGCCTTCGACACCCCTCAGAATGGAGTCACCCACTACAATGACCCTCCTGGGGTTCTTTTTAGAATTGTTTTTAATACCTGGTCTATAGTGACCCAGCCTTGGTGGACCTTGGTCTTCCTCCTTGTTTGTCTCCTTCTCTTCCTCCTTCTCTTCTTCATTCAAAAGTTCCAGGGCTCCATACCTGTTGTGAAGGAGCACCATGGAAGGTGAGGGAGGTCGGGAGAGGATTTTCCTGCCCCTCTGAGCAGGGACCTGTTTCCAGCCTCCCCCATCTCTTAGGTCCCCTCCTTCTGCCTGGTAGCAAGAGAGTGAGGGATTGCCTGCTTCTTCTGGAGCCTCCATTTGCTCCTGTTGCTTTAGGCGTGCTAGAGTGTTACTCCACCAACCAATTTCCCTTCCACACTCCCTAATACTTCTTAATCTTTTGACCTCTCCTTTGAGTTCCACCACCAGGCTGAGCAGGTCACCCAGCTGATCGCAGCACACACAGGTGCTGTCACTGCTGCCCTCTGACAGTATTGACAGGCTCAGGCATTCCCTGCAGCCCAGGACCAGGACCACTGCATGTTTGCATGGCAGCTCCATCTGGGTCACCATGTTCTTTCTGGTGGTGGTTTTGACGCAAGTGGAGACAGTCCGTGGTTCAGTCTACTCATGGAGGATGGTAAGATGAAACTAGCTCGGATAAGTTCTAGACCCCGGAGAGGGACTGCGCCTTGTCCGCTGGAACTGCCATGCCCTGGTTGCTCACACTCCCTGGGGGCTGCTCTTGTATGTGAGGGGCATTGGGCACTGTCACTCCAGTCTTTGCCGGCCCTGAGTCCCCGCTGCCCTTGTTCACAGCAGCTTGCTCTTCCTGCTCAGGGTGGAGGCAACCTGAGGCTCTCACTCTTCCCTGGGCTTCTGCCTTCATGTCTTGCAGTTTTGCCATGGGTTTTTGATGCTTTCAGGAAGGTCCCCTGCCGCCTGTCCTCCTCTTCGGATCCCCCCTCCCCAGCAACTTTATTATGCTGCTGGATATGCCAATATCTAGAAGCTAATATCAAGCAATATCCCAATATTCAGCAGCCTCCAAGGACTTTTTGTTCTGTTTTCACTCCACAGTTCCACCAGAATTATATCTGGTCGAATTACTGTGAGTCTTTCACAGTAATTAAATTGTAATTTTACTGTGAAGCCCCTTTGTATAAACTCTAAATAATTCCTTTCTCTGGAGGTTTTTTCTTGGTCATCTTTCTCCAGGCTGGTACAGCTTTTCTTATTCCTGTTGATAGTTTCTCCCTTGGTTTCTTGCGCCTTTTACTGGAGGAATAGGGAGTATAAAATTTATTTTCTTCTCTTAGAAGGTCTGTATGTTTAGTGGAAGACAGCAACCTGGTCAGCACAGGACCAAACCTAATCTTTCATATGTACTACTTTTAGCAACCACAAGTGTATTGCTACTTAGCTGTTATCTTGGAAGTCAGAGTTTGTAGTTTATTCCAGCAGCAGCTGCAAGGAGGACAAATGAGAAACAGTTTTCTAAAACTCACACTCTCCACAAATTGCAAAAGACTCACATTTTTTAATAGATAATTGGAATGTTCAAGATTATTTTTTATATCTATAATGAGATGTACTTTAACTTGGACATCTGTAAAAAACCTGTGTTTTGGCTTTCAAAGCTAGCTCTATCCTTATTCAATTAGGATATTTTATTATTCATTGTCTCCCTCTCAAACCTTCAAATACAGATGCAGTGTTTGTTACAGTGCCAGCACTTTATTGGCTTAGTAAGAACAAGCACTCAGCCTAGTTCAGAGCAAAAGACCTCCTCTACTCTCTGGACAGCATCTGGAAATCTTCTCCTGATAAATCTTCCTCTTCTATATTGTTGTCAAAAGGCACACAATTCACAACAATGAGGAACATATGATACCATTTTTGTTGATGCATCTCCAGTTTGAAATGTTCTGACAGCAGGCAGAGATGAAACTGTTCCCTGTGTCACATTGGAAATAAATTATAATTGATAAATTAATTAAGATTCCCAGTCTTACTGGAATGCTGAGCAGCATTTCAGAAAAAAAAAAAAAAAAAAAGAAAAAATATGGCATTTGCAATCAGGTTTAAAAACCAGAACCAAAATGAGGGCCTACTTTTGTTTAGTGAACAGTTCCAGGTCTGGATTACAGCAGTTCCACATGTTGATGTTGATGTTACAGGAAGATCTGCCCATGTAACATTATCCAGTCATGACTACAGGTTATTTACTCTTTTTAATGAGATACAGATAAAATGCAACCTCAAACAAACCAACTTTATGAAGAAGACATAAATAATTTAAACTCTTCAATGTAACGATTCTGCTGCTTTTATTTGGAAATATGCCATGAACTGTGCTTCTATGATTGCACATATTTTTGGTTTCCAGAGCTCTTCATTCCAAAGTCACAGAGGTAAATCTGAAAACATAAAGACTGTGAAAGCTGTTTCTGCTGCATCTTATGAGCAGCATGTGGGTGGTCTCATCTTGGTTTTGTTTGTACACATTCTGGGTGTGCTCAAAACCAGGTAACCAATATTCCTTGCCTTTATTTACAGACCTTTTATTCCTTTTTCAGACCTTGGCTGTTAGATGACCTCCCTATAGTGTACATACATAGCTCCTAACATACAGCAGTGTTTTGGCTATAGTCATGGTGATCTAGTTTATGGGGTTTTTCCTCTGTAATGCCTGACGTGACACTGGTGGTTCATCAGCAAAACTGTGGCCAAGAGAGCCTCCTCTAATTCCTCTAAATAGGAAATTATACACCCAGATAGTAAAAGCTTCTCTGAGGCTGCCGCTATACTTGGCAGCAGAAGCAAAATAAAGCCACCTTCTGTCCGTTTTGTCGTCCACCCTGGGGAGCACAGCTGAAGGAACTCCAGGTGGGTCATGTGGCCCACAGGGATGTACCCTGCCGCGGCCAAATGTCTCTGGATACCCACTTACCTCCAGAGCTTCCATCCAAACCCTTCAGAATAAAACAGTGGGTGCCTCAAAACTTTTAAAAGTACCATCAATAAAGTATCTGGTGACAGAAGACTCTGCTGAAAGATGAGAAGAATGGAGAGTCATCCTCTCAGACAAGATGGCTGCCAACAAGAGCACCAAGGCCCAGCTGAAAAAAATTACTGTAGTCACTTTGGAAATTAAAATCACAGTGTCCAATAAAACTGTTAGATGCTACTTCCACTAGTTCTTCCTGGCAACATTACTGGGACAGACGAATGAACCTCAAGGGGGATATTTGTGGTGGAAAATGAAGTACAAGAGATCCCTGCCCAGATCCAGAAAAGTCTTCAAGACAGATATATCCTCTGTACGACTGGACTAGCCAAATTCTGCAGCCCACAAGAAAAGACAAACCCTTAAAACTTGTCTTCCTGTTCCTTACGAAAATGCTCAGATGTCTGGTAGATGGTGAGTTTAATTCAGGAAAAGCTCTGCAACTGACTCCAGTTGCAAATATCATGTACTGATATTTACACATCTCAAATTGATAATGAGAGGGAAAAAATACAACTCAGTGAAAAGAATTCTTTTGGGGATGCCACATTTAAGATTAATAATTTCCCACAATTTAGCAAAACACATTATTGGGCTATAATCACCCCTTTAAAAAGTAGGAAATCTGCCAGCTGGCAAGGACTTAAATTTTGAATGAAGTTTCCAGTTCAGCTCTATTTCCAGATCAGTGAGGAGCTTCATCTCTTCCAAAAGCTGCTGGTTTTCAGTCTTCAACTTTTAACAGCTCACCTTCTGCTCACTGGCAACATGAGAATTTACTTCTCAGGAATACATCATGAAAAAATGTCAAGTGATAGCTCCAGCAGTCAACAGAGTGGGAAAAGAGAACAGCATAGAATGATTCACATCATCTGTATGATCACCCATTAACCCATTCCCGTTCTTCAACTGCTTGTACCGTTCCTATCTCCCCTCCCTTCCTTCTTTCTTCCCACTCGTTTTTCACTCCCATGGTTTCCATCACCCCACCCTCCCTTTGATTTAATCTCTCATTCTCTTAGCTTCATGCACCACATGAACCCAGACCTCCCATACATGAATATGGAGTGAAAAGCCTGTAATAACGAACCGGTCACTGGACTTAATTGTCTGTGCTTTTTGCTGCAGAAGTTTACAATCTGTCCCAGAAGTTAGATTTTTCCCCTGATAGTTGAATGTTTGCTTTGCATGGGGGAAGGAAAGTGACTGCCTGCTAATGAAGAATGGGGAAGGAGGACTCTGCTGAACCCTCCCACTCCCCCAGCACATAACATCTCACAGAGAACACAAGGCTGTTGATGAGGGTATTCAGTCTGGCAAACGATAAATCACAGAGCCAGAATAATAGGCAGACACGTCCTCCATTAAGAAGCATGCCTGCAGAGCATGAATCTGCCCGCACAGTGTGCTCACCACTCCAGTGCTTACCTCCTAACAGTGCAGGCAACATTCAAAGGCACCAAAAATACCAGCAAAAGGGTGAGCACTGCCCAGGTGACAGGGCAGACACCTCAGTTCCAGCATCTACTTCCAGAAGAGATGTTTTTGTTTTATTCAGTGCCATAATAAGTGGCTTTCACTGATCCTGCCTTTCTTGAAATGCAAGTCTCTAATGTCCTTCCTTCCCAGACAGCACCTCTGGCCACACTGCTGTCTGTGCCAGAGAGGCTGCAAAGAGCAGGGGAATGGGAGGAAGGTGGGGACACTCATCCCTCAGATATGCCTTCTGTCTCACTGTTACTTCCAGTTGCTGCTGGGGGCCCTCTCCCCAGTGTCCTTCCCAGCTTCCTCCAGCTGTCTTGCTGCTGCCAAGTCTCAGCCACTGTCTGGAGAAACAGCAGCTGGTGAGAACTGGTCTCTCTCCAGTATCACAGGAGCTGCCTCTAGGGCAGGTTCTCTTCCCAGATTGGCCTTATTATGGCTCTTGTATTGCTCATTTACAGCCAAAAGACCAGTAGCATCCTGCCCACCGGTGAGAGGTCTGCAGTCACAAAGCCAGGCTCCATCTGGGTATTCCCTCAGGCCTCAGAAATTTTTAATTCTTTTCTTCACAGGGGTACAGATTCAACTGGAAGGTGGAGTAACTCACAGATTAGTGGTTAAACCAGTCTCTGAAAGAGACAGAAGAAGTGAAATAGGAGTTGTTAACGCTCCCAGGCAAAGGAAAGAACTGCAGCTCTGGGGCAGCTCTGTGAAAAAGGAGTGACTCACGGTGCCACACCAACCACACCATGATTTAAGTGGAATCAGTAGTCTCTGAGACTGGTCCCTGCTGGTGTATGAGAGAGGGAGAGGTTTTGAGACATCCTGGAGCAGACCACCAAAGACACTTCAGCAGAGAAACTCTTGTTTCTGAATTCTGGTGAGATACATGCAGTACATACATGAAACAGAAAACAGTTTGCTGAGCCCTGTCAAAATTGAAGTGCTTCTGCACATGTACAGAGACTGAGCCTTCAGGACATTTGAAAAGCCTGGGATTTTAGATGCCTCCCAGCTGAGGTCACTGGTCTGAAGGGTAGTAATTTTGGGTGCTGGTGTTCATGGTCCACTATGGGTACCAAAGTCCTTCACATGATCTGGTCTTTCAGCCTTAGGAATGGATGTGATCATCAGTATATGATGTTTCA